GAAATGTAAAGACTGAACAAACAGCATAAATGGGGAAAGATCAATTAGGTGTTTAGAATTCCTTTAATCTGATGCTATTGTGCCATGTCCTGGGTGTGCTTTGGTGCAGCAGAAAGCCAGTCAAAGTCAAGTAGGGGATTGGTACCTACACTCAACCCCACCCCCTGCTCAGGGGCATGGTCCATGACGACTCTCTCCCCTGGCAATGGGAGAGGGCATCAGGATGGCAATACCCATGCACAGTGTTTCCCCAGCTTTTTAGGGGAGCACTTTCCTCTGTGGTTCTCAGTCAGCTGAGAACATTCATGGGCTGTGCAGCCTTAGACAGGGGTGCTCAATAGCTGCAGCTGTAGGGCAGTAATGGGGGGTGGTACCCAGGAGGGCCCTCCTCTGTGGTAATCAGGATGGGCACAACCTCTACCCCCACACCTGTGACCGGCCCCCTGAATCCCCTGAACTCCAGGACAGTCCTTATCATTTGACTTGAGGATTCATTGCTCTCTGTGTTTTGAGCACAGATGCAGCAGGGCCAAAACACGCGCAGGACTGGGTGAGTTGCTGCAGAGCCAGCTAGCTTTCCCTGCTCCTGCCTGCCAAGTGATATGAGCTTGGGACTTTGCTACTAGTCCAAGCAAGGAAATGGTCTTTAAAAAGCAACAACGTTCTTACTCACCCATCAATTACTCAACCCGAAAACATAAAACCCTTTTGAAAAAAAGAAACAAAAGCTAAAACAGACACATGGATCAGTCTCCAATATAAGACCCATGCACCTGTCATTTCACTATAAATCAAGGCTGTTATACTCTTCGCCTATTAAACTACACAGAAAACATTATTCTCAAAAAGAAAAGGAGTACCTGTGGCACCTTAAAGACTAACAAATTTATTTGAGCATAAGCTTTCATGAGCTACAGCTCAATTCATCGGATGCATTCAGTGGAAAATACAGTGGGAAGATTTATATACATAGAGAACATGAAACAATGGGTGTTACCATACACACTGTAACCGGAGTGATCACTTAAGGTGAGCTATTACCAGCAGGAGAGCGGAGGCTGGCGGGGGAGGGAACTTTTATAGTGATAATCAAGGTGGGCCATTTCCAGCAGTTGACAAGAACGTCTCAGGAACAGCGTGGCGGGGGGGATAAACATGGGGAAATACTTTTACTTTGTGTAATGACCCATCCACTCCCGGTCTCTATTCAAGCCTAAGTTAATTGTATCCAGTTTGCAAATTAATTCCAAAAAGAAACGACAGCATTTGCTCAAGAAACTCCCTGAAAAAGCACAGGAACAGATCTGTGCAGACACATGCCTAGATGCCCGACCTGGCGTATTCTATCTGCTACCCAAGATCCATAAACCTGGAAATCCTGGACATCCCATCATCTCAGGCATTAGCACCCTGACAGCAGGTCTGGCTATGTAGACTCCCTCCTCAGTCCCTACGCTACCAGCACTCCCAGCTATCTTTGAGACACCACTGACTTCCTGAGGAAACTACAATCCATCGGTGATCTTCCAGAAAACACCATCCTGGCCACTATGGATGTAGAAGCCCTCTACACCAACATTCCACACAAAGATGGACTACAAGCCGTCAGGAACAGTATCCCCGATAATGTCACGGCAAACCTGGTGGCTGACCTTTGTGACTTTGTCCTCACCCACAACTATTTCACATTTGGGGACAACGTATACCTTCAAATCAGCGGCACTGCTATGGGTATCTGCATGGCCCCACAGTATGCCAACATTTTTATGGCTGACTTAGAACAACGCTTCCTTAGCTCTCGTCCCCTAACGCCCCCTACTCTACTTGCGCTACATTGATGACATCTTCGTCATCTGGACCCATGGAAAAGAAGCCCTTGAGGAATTCCACCATTATTTCAACAATTTCCATCCTACCATCAACCTCAGCCTAGACCAATCCACACAAGCGGTCCATTTCCTGGACACTACTGTGCTAATAAGCGATGGTCACATAAACACCACCCTATACCCGAAACCTACTGACCACTATACTTACCTACATGCCTCCAGCTTCCATCCACGAAACACCACACGATCCATTGTCCACAGCCAAGCTCTAAGATACAACCGCATTTGCTCCAACCCCTCAGAAAGAGACAAACACCTACAAGATCTCTATCAAGCATTCTTACACCTACAATACGCACCTGCTGAAGTGAAGAAACAGATTGACAGAGCCAGAAGAGTACCCAGAAGTACCCACTACAGGACAGGCCCAACAAAGAAAATAACAGAACGCCATTAGCCGTCACCTTCAGCCCCCAACTAAAACCTCTCCAATGCATCATCAAGGATCTACAACCTATCTTGAAGGACGACCCATCATTCTCACAGATCTTGGGAGACAGGCCAGTCCTTGCTTTCAGACAGCTCCTCAACCTGAAGCAAATACTCACCAGCAACCACACACCACACAACAGAACCACTAACCCAGGAACCTAGCCTTGCAACAAAGCCCGTTGCCAACTGTGTTCACATATCTATTCAGGGGACAACATCATAGGGCCTAATCACATCAGCCACACTATCAGAGGTTCGTTCACCTGCACATCTACCAATGTGATATATGCCATCATGTGCCAGCAATGCCCCTCTGCCATGTACATTGGCCAAACTGGACAGTCTCTACGTAAAAGAATAAATGGACACAAATCAGACATCAAGAATTATAACATTCAAAAACCAGTCGGAGAACACTTCAATCTCTTTGGTCGCTCAATTACAGACCTAAAAGTGGCAATACTTCAACAAAAAAACTTCAAAAACAGACTCCAACAAGAGACTGCTGAATTGGAATTAATTTGCAAACTGGATACAATTAACTTAGGCTTCAATAAAGACTGGGAGTGGATGGGTCATTACACAAAGTAAAACTATTTCCCCCCACCCCCAACCGTTCCTCAGACGTTCTTGTCAACTGCTGGAAATGGGCCACCTTGATTATCACTACAAAAGGTTCCCGCCCCCGCTCTCCTGCTGGTAATAGCTCACCTTAAGTGACCACTCTAGTTACAGTGTGTATGGTAACACCCATTGTTTCATGTTCTCTGTGTATATAAATCTCCCCACTGTATTTTCCACTGAATGCATCCGATGAAGTGAGCTGTAGCTCATGAATGCTTATGCTCAAATAAATTTGTTAGTCTCTAAGGTGCCACAAGTACTCCTTTTCTTTTTGCGAATTCAGACTAACACAGATGCTACTCTGAAGCCTGTCATTATTCTCAAAGGAATTATAAGTAATTTGACAAAATAAAATTTGGTGGCCAGTTAATAAATACATTTAATGGACATTACTTCCCTGTTTGCCAACATCTTTTAAATGAAAATTATTTAGAGACCAAAACAAAGACAACAAAACCCCATCAAACCATTGGCCAGAGTGAAAGCTATTCTCTTGTGATGAAATTGGTCTCATATTCTATAAGAATTATGCTGTTGTTGATTACATGGGCAGTGGAAGGTTTATTATTATAATTATTGGTATTATCGACAGAGATTTATATTGTGGTAACACACAAAGGTCCCATTCCTAATCGGGGCCTCTTGGTGCAAAGCATGTAAGTAATAAATATGCATCCGTGCTCCATTGTACTGGGTGCTGTATAAACATAGAGTAAAAGGTCAGTCTAAGTACAAGATGAGAGACAAAAGGCAGATACAGATAGATTCCGCATCTAGTCACTTCATTGATCTTAAGTGCTTGCATTTGGTAACTAACATGACCGCTGACATACTCTATTTTCATTCAGCAACGTAACCAGCTGTGAAACAAAGTAACAGGCAACTGAATAATGCTTGAATTTTTGTTGGCCTTGCTGTTCCAAAAATAAAGGTAATCTGGAGTCTGCCATTGTCTTTGAGGGAGAAGATGAGCACATCATCCAAAAATACCTAAAAGGAATAAGGCCCCAGTCTTGCAGAAAGAACCACATGGGTAAATCCATGTGCCCAGTGCTCATAATGGTGCCACTGGAACCCCACACTGGCACAGCAATCCACTCGCATGCTATCAGTTGCAGGACCGGGGTCTACCCTATTAAGAAGTGACCCCAGATTTTCCAGGTTTGTTCTGTGACATTGGTCATGCTGTCTCGCAGCTGAATTCTGTACTGGGGGCAAAGACTGCATGAGAAGAAGCACATGGTCTCGGCTCAGAAATGTGCTTGCGTTTGCAATCATAAATCAGCAGGGAACAGAAGCAGCCATGTTAATCTCTATCAGAATTCTCTAACTGCCAGAATAGTGAATGGAGAAGCCACAACAGTGCAGATCAGCACTGTCCATCCTGGCTCCAATCCTGCAGAGTTTGCTCACATTAGCAGAGCCATCCAGAGAATTAGGGATAAGGCCTTGCACCCTCAGAGGAATCCAAAGAACTCTGCAAAGTATTAAGGGGTGTCCCAGCACTGGCCGCTCTGCAGCAATCCCGGCATCTCTGTACTGTCTATGGTGCAAGCAGGGGCTGTGGTTACCGAACGGAAGCCTGGGCTCATGAATAAAGAGCTGGAATGAAACCCAGTGTAGATACTATCAGGACAGTGACCGAAGGCCAATGTGGCTGGGAGCCAATATGTGTTCAGGAACTGCCTTAGCCATTAGATGCTGTTTAATGGAGGGAGACAATAGAGGCCAGCATACCAGGGAGCTCCTAAGCCTTTTTCAGATGGTGGAGTTTTAAACTGGGGTCCCCTCCCACTGCCTTTGGGAGCTCGGCTGAGAAATGTGCAGGCATCTTTCCCAAAGGCCAGCCCAGCATTCTGTGCTACCTGGGCCCAGTCTTCCTGAGAGGAGTGTGTCTCAAACCGATGATGCTTCTGGCCCAGAGATGGGGGCAACCCTGCACTGCCACTGCTAACATATCTCACCGGAGCCCACATGAGCCAGAGCCCGCCCTGTGTCTGATAATCATGTTCTCAGAGCACACCGAGCCAATCCCATGTCACTAGTGACACTTACCGTGAATAGCCCTTTCCTTCTCCTCCTGCTCCCAACATAAAACCTGGATCCCTTCACAGCCAAGGATGCGGGGAACGGTGTATCCACCACCCTGGAGGGATTACAATAAGAGGCACATGAGCACAGAGCAGCTAACTTCATGGCATCCACTGGTGACTGGAAAGACCAACCCTGGGCCTGATGGCCTAAGGAGATTCCTGTAATTACAGCGCTCAGTTGCTAGGAAGACAAATGTAAACACAGGCCTTGCCAGACTAGTTCATCTAGCCTGGGATCCTTGCCAGACTAGTTCATCTAGCCTGGGATCCTGCCTCAGACAGTGGCTAGGATGGCTATTCATATTTGGACTCCTACTAAAAGACTTTTGCCTCAGTGATGATTTCATGTGGCAGAGAGTTCCACAAGGTAATTCTGTGATGGGCACTAAAGTCTTTCCTTTTCTCTGGATTTTAGGGAAGAACCGGGTCTCACAGGCTGTTTTGACTCTGATCTGGACAGAACATTCGGCAACTTTTCAGATGACAAGTCCCCTACGCAGGATTTCAGTGAGATTACTTAAACTGACACTCTCTCTGCTTCCCTTCACATCTGCCTACCAAATCCTCCCTCCCCATTTGTAACACTGCAGATGCCCCAGATTATCCCCTTCCCTCCAGGGAAGGCACCCGCTCCCCCAGACCTTCCACCAGGGGTCAGTACCTTCCTCCTGAGCCAGCCAAGCTACAGCTGAGCCCTCCCCCCCCCCCCCAAAGGGGGAGCCAGTGGTGGACCCTTCTCACACTAAAGTCACCAGACAGCAGAGCCAATCAGCCTATGGACTGCCTGCAGCCAGTTTGGTGATTGTTATGTAGTATTTATACTGCAATAGCACCCAAAGGCCCTTCTCCCAAACTGATCCATCTTGCCCTGGAGCTGGGCAACACACATTTTGTAGGGGTTGCAAAAATTTTGGAAAGAAAATGAACAGTTTTTGTTTTGTCCAATGTTTCACTCGGTTTGGGGTTTTCATTGTTCTATGAAAAATTGCAAAGTGAAAATGGAAATTTTTCATTTTATTTAGAAAAAATTCATTTTGATTCCAAAAATGTTTCAGTTTTAGGAGGGCTCCCCCCTTTCCCACACTTTTTACTTCCCTTTTTTTCGGTGGGGGGAACTAAGAGCAAGAGGGAATTTCCCCAGTATTTCCAAATGAACATTTAGAATTTTTTTTTCAAAATCTCCTTGAAAACAGGCATTTCAGCTTAAAAAAAAAAAAAAAAGTCATTTTTCAATGAAACCCTGTTTTTAACTGGCTTTTTGGTGATATTTTTCCAGCCAGCCCCAACACAGCTCAGAGCACCAGATCCCTGGCCTGAAACACAGGCTAAAGAGACGAGACAAACACAACACAGAAGTGGAGCATTTGGGGGGGATGAGATGAAAGCAAGAAGACACCTTCCTCTTTCCATTCCCTACCTCCCCATTCCCAAAACATCTCCCCCACCCCCACCCAGCTTACCCTGCCAATGCTGCCTCAGTGCACCCTCCTGCTGCCCTGCCCGCCTCATGGCACCTCTCCAGGGTGACTGACAGCCTCTAGCCCAGCATTGGTCCTGCTTCGAGCAGGGGGTTGGACTAGATGACCTTCTGGGGTCCCTTCCAACCCTTATATTCTATGATTCTATGATTCTATGATCAGACTCCAGCCAGCTCTGTTCTTCGTAACTCCATGGCAGAATGGCACAGAAAAGGGGAGACCGTGAATCTGGATTGGCTCAGTGCTCCCACCCCAGAGGAGACATTTGTGGAACTCCTCTTGGGGCAGGCATGTCACCCCCAGTACCAAGGAGCCTGGCTCCAAACTTGGGGAAGAGAGCAGAGTCCTCCAAAAAATTGCTGACATTGCTGGGTACCCTCTGAGAATGCCAGGCTGGTGAGAGCTGGAGCAAGACTCTGCTTTCCAGGACTCCCTGCCTGAGGGACAGGGACAGGACATAGAGTTCTGTCCTTTGTGCAGCATTGGTAAGCATCCAGGTTCTCTGCTTTGTTATGTGTGCAAGGGTGAGATGGCAGGAGTAGACAGAGCAACAGCAAACCCTGCAGAGCACCCACATCTGAAAAGCTTTCACCACCCCCCAGCCAGCCCTACACCCAGGAGGTCCCCCTGAATTGCACTTACTATACATACACGTCAATGGGGATACTGCAGTCCACAGTTAGGGAGAAGAATGGCCCAGACACGGCCAAGACAAGTGTGTGCCACTGGTTGTCAGTTAAGGAGATGCCCTGGAAGATGACCTGGGTCTGCCAGCCGTTGGAGAACTCTCTGCTCCAGAAGAAGAAGTAGAGTTTGTTCAGCGAGTACCTGAGCCCAACAAGCACCGTGTTGCTCTCCTCCTTCATCACAGTGAAGATATACTCGTTTTTCTGAAAGAGCAGGGAAAGGGCTAGTTCTGAGGCCAGCATTTGGGGCATGGAGGCTGCCCATAGACGACTATACATGCAAACCTTTTTGCTCATTGATTGCACTGGAGAACTGAGAGCTCATAGGCAGGAAGGATGAGTTTGTGGTTGAGACACTGGAGTGCAACTCAGGTCTGCATATGGGCTTGGGTCCTAACCATTCACCAAAGGGGAGGGGCATCCACACCCAGGGCCCTGGTGCAGGCGCAGTTGGTGTTTACCTTTGGTGGGACGCTGAGGACCCTCAGGGTGATGATGATGGAGAATTCCTCTGGGAAGAGGTCACAGTAGAGGAAAATCTGGGAAGCCGGGAAGCTCAGGGCATGGCGTGCTGATGCAGAGAACTGAAACCCACGTGCCCCCTGCACTTGGAGCATCCGAATCCCACTTCTCACACCACTAGTCGGAACCACTTCCGAGAGAATATCCAGGGGGCGCAAGTCTGTGTCAGAGAAATCACAGAGCCACATCACTAAGGTTGCTCACGACCCTTGCCAATGGCATGAAGATCATCAGTAGGGCTGAGCTAAGAATGGATTTTTCCATTTGGGTACCAAACCAGAAAAAATTCAAAACCATTTTTTTAAAAAAAATTCTAATAAAAAATTTGTTCTGAATCAACTGAAATATTTTGGGTTGATTCAAAATGATTTTTGAGTTTTTCATTTCAAATTGGCTTTTTTCAGGTGTTTTTCACCCTTTGTGTGTGTGTGGGGGGGGTTTTAATTGGCCAAATTTGAATTCAAAACACCTGTTTCAAAATGAAAAGCCCAAACAAGTTGTTTCTAAATGGCCAAAGTGAAATGTGTCAACTTTTTTAAAAAGAAAGTTCATTTTTTTCCCTCAGCCAAAAACCATTTGTTGAATTTGACCCAAATTCACAAATAGTTTGGGAGCACTGAAAAATGCTTTTTGTGACCAGAAAATCAATTCAGCTAAATAAGTAACTAAAACCACCCAGCTGGAATCATCAACAAATGTGGGGGGAAGATGATGGATCAGATGTGGGGAGAGGGGGGTAACAAACAAAACCCCCAAAAGCACAGCTGCCATGCCATGTGCACATGCCTTACCAGAGTCGTGGCCTGGACTGACCACTGTCAGCTCCACCCACCTGCTTCCCCTCCCCCTGGTCTATTTCTAACCCTCAATATGCCGTGTCATTTTGGATGCAGGCTGTGCGCTCCTCTGGGCAGATGTGCCTGTGGTTGCTTTTGGGAGGTGCCTCCCACAAAAGAATCCTGGACAAGCACTCATCACGACACGTGCAGATGGCTCACGCACACCCCACCCTGCTGCATGGAGTCAGCGCTGTAGCATCATTGGTTTGAGATGGCTGGATTCCTCATGAGCGGTGACACCCACTCACTTCTACAGCCCTGGAGAGGAATTTGATGCCCTGTATTCTGCAGAGAGTCACAGAGTTCAAGGCCAGAAGGGGCCACCCGATCATAATCTAACCTGTACAGCACAAGCCCCCATGGCCACCCAGCCACAGCGCTTGAAGTGGGGAGAGGGCACAAGGGATTGCAGACCTGGCCAAATACTACTACTACTGATTTCAATTGAGCTAGGGGATTGAGGGGACACTTCAAGCACCATCTTACCACAGCTGCTGCTCCCAGATTCTGAGAGGAGCCCCCACAGGGTTTTCAGACCACTTTGGGCACTGTTCAGCCACCTGCACACCAAGCCCAACAACCTGAATTAACACAAAATATTACAGTCCACAGGACACTAGACTATTGTGTGCCAAAGGCAGAGAATGGAGAGACTGTGATGCACCAATGCTTGAGACCCCTGCATTGGCAGGAATGATTCAGTGAGAAATATCCAGATAATCCTGACAAGTGACCCGCACCCACGCACTGCAAAGAAAGGTGAAACCCCCTGAGGTCACTGCCAATCTGATGTGGTGGAAAATTCCTTCCCGACCCCACATGGCAATCAGACATGTGAGCAAGATGCAGCCAGCGAAGCACCAGAGAGAGAATGTCCCGTGCCAGCTGAGAGCCCTGGCCCGCCCTGTCTAGTGTCCCATCTCCAGCCATGGCCATCCCTGATGCTTAGAAGACAACCTCTCCCCTCAAAAAATACATTGGGGGCGGGAGTTTCCTACCTGACCACAAAGGATTAAGGATGCTTTTTAACTCATGGGACTGGTCAATGAAGCAGCGCCAGTTCACTCCGCATTGTAAACAATATCTGTATCCCTCTGCCTGTAAAGCCATCCCGGTTTGGAACCCGGAGTTCAGCTGTGCTTGGAGGGAGAAGAAAAATCACTGCTAATACGTTTCAGATAATGCAACAGATTATCTCACCCAATGAACTGGGGCCCAGATCAGCCCAGGATTCACTTCAGTCTCTGCTGGCACAGATATCCGTCCCGATGATAGAGGAGGGGTGTTGATGGAAAGTGGCTTCTCCCTTCCCTCCACTGTGGGACCTGCATGAGAGTCGCCAGGGAAGCTCTGATCTAGCATGTCCTTTCCCATGGATCCCTGGCCATAAATTAATGCTGCCCACACCATGCAGAATCCCCAAGAGGGAATGCCGGGCTCAGCTCCACCTCCGAAAAAGGATTGGTGATATCCACGTACAACAGAGCATGGATGGCTGACAAACTGTTTTTGTCATGCACCTTTGAGCACTGCCCCTGCACTCCTCCCACCTTCCATGGGACTCACTCCAACACCCCAAACCTGTGAGATGCTTCAGACAACTGCTTAAAAAAACATTTCTTTCCTTCTTCAGCCCCCTACTCCCATCCTTCGTATATGGATTTCCTTCCCCTCCCCACCCCAGGGAAACAATGACCCTGCTCTGAGTTGCAGGGCAGTCGCTGCTCAATCCTGTGCCAGGGACAGGTTAAAGAGCCAGTAGCTCTCAGTCCATCAGGCCAGCTTCCCGCTGAGACATAGCACTTGATTGCCAGCCCTGCTATGGCCCAGGAGATTGGCCCCTGCAACCCTGGCATTATAACAGCTACTGTAGGGATTTCTCAGTGGTGTTGCATTGGATCTGTGTGCTACAGACAACATGCTTAATGACTAGGCTAATCAATGACTAGGCCAATCAAGCATGCGGGGATGTGGGAAGCCGGATTTAGAATAGAATCCTGGCCCTTCTCTTCCAAAACTACTGGTCATTGTCACGTGAGCTAAAAGCCGTCTCCCTTCAATGGGGCTCATATCCTCTCTGCCACTAGGGGGCAACGCACACACATCTGACGAAGTGAGCTGTAGCTCATGAAAGTTTATGCTCAAATAAATTGGTTAGTCTCTAAGGTGCCACAAGTCCTCCTTTTCTTTCTAGTATAACACAGTCTTTCAAGTACAGTATGGTACTGAGGTGCCTGGCTTTACATGCCCCCGGGACACAAATAACAGTGTCAGCACAGCTTTCTAAAGACTCCTGGAAGCACAGAACACCCTGGGGAGGAATGCGGCCAGCCCAAACCCCTGCTGGTAAACGCTTTGTACAGCGCCACCCCACCCACTGTGTGTCTGGCAGGCAGAGAGATGGGCAGAGGCGATGGGGTGTGGATCCCGATGTAGTTTTAGGCTAGAAATCATCCTTAACCAGAGCCTGCATCTGCATTTGCGGAAGTTCAGGTCTGGATTTACACTATGATTCAGGCTGGAGGCTCAAGCAGCTTTGGGGTTTGGGTGCAGAATCAAGGTCATCAAAGCTTCGGGAGCTGTTCCCACACAAATTCAGTCAAAATGGGGGAAAGTCCTGGGAGCTGCACCGCTCTCATGAAGTTTCAGAGACCCAGAATCCCACAAAGGGCTCTGAACGTTTCTGCATCTGAATTGAGACCAAAGTCGTAGGGGCAGGTTTAGATCTGGGGCTCAGAATCCAGATGGCCCAGGAATTTGAAACAACTTGCTTTGGAAGTTCCAGGTTTTTTGGCTCATCCCTAATTATGCACCACCCACCTGCCCGCACACAGAGCCATAGGACATCGTTGTTAAAGAACTAACATCTACTCAGAGAAGAAAGCAACGCACAGGTGGCCTCAGGGTATCCCCCGGACTGAAAAACTCAGTGAGGAGACAGCCTTTGATTGGGCACAGCTGGGAAGTGCAGACATCAGCCTGGCAGCCCTAGGCCACCCACAACCTGTCTGCAGCGCTTCAAACCCATGCCAGCAATGCTGAATTATAACCAGTTAAGAGCACCCACCGTTTGATCTCTTCGCAAATACCGTGCTGTGGAGCAACTGCAAAGGAGAAAACTTTGCCCGGGTGCTTCACCTATTAACTGGCATCAGCGTCACGTCGGTCCAATTTTTCTTAATTGCTGTCGGCGTCCCTGACAACATTCTTTGTTTAACAAAAATAGACCAGACCAGAGTGTTTGCACTGGTTGTGGCACTTGAGCAAAGATCTGTCTGTTGCACAGAAACTGGTGCACTGATGTTCCTCCCACCCTCAGCTACGCTGATGCTTTTAAGGTGAAGATACCTTTCAGCAGAACTGTGCTAGACAGCGAGCTTACCTGGCTTTGGTATCTACTGGCTCCTACTTGTAGGAGAAGACATTATTTCTATTACTGTAATGCCTAGAAGCCCTCATCATGGCCAAGACCCCTATTGTGCTAGGTGCTGTACGAACTCAGAACAAAGAGACCATCCCGCCCCAAAGAGCTTCGGGAACTCCCAGAATTCAATGAGAGATTCTGCAGGTGTCTGTAGCAAGTGAATATTTTCTACCCGCAATGGGCCAGATTCTGATCCCCTTACTCCTGGGAAGTAGCACCTTGCTCAGAAAGCAGGCTCACTGAACACAACAGAGTATGACGCTACTCCGTGTGAGTAAGGGGATCAGAATTTGGCCCACAGTTTGTATGAGGCAAATGACATCCCCTCAGAGGACAGAGGAAATGAAACCCGGCCTGTCATGTCCCAGAAGCTATGGCAGGGCATTGGGTTTCACCCAGACGATCCCATTGTCCATTTCTGCATCTCCAAGCATTTCCAATGGGCCAGCACCATGGGATCAGAGTGAAATAAAACTCACCAGGCACTCAGAAAACCTAAACCTCATCTGTGGAGCAGCTGGACTGGCTGGCTGGCAGCACTCTGTGGCACCAAGGAGATGACCTTGGTTACCATTCCAGGTTCAATTTCTCATCATTCTGGGACGCAGCCATTCTTGTTGCTTTGGGGTTTGTTGGCTCCGTGCTATAACCTCTCTTTGAATTGGTTACATTTTAGGGAATGAAATTAACACATTTTTCATACAAATTTGTCCTGGTTTCCATCATTCGGTTAAACAGAGAAATTCCCAGGTCCCTAGTGGAGCACTCAATATTTAGTTGGGTTATGAGTGAACACACTATTTGTTGAATTTCACCTCTTCTTCTGCTTGTAAAAGGTTAGCAAACAAATCACAAAATTTTTGACTGCGTGCATTACACCAAACTCCTTGCTCATTT